AGTGTCAGACTTTATTTTAGGGGGCTTCAAAATCACTGCAGATGGTGACTGCAGCCATGAAATTAAAAGACGCTTACTCCTTGGAAGGAAAGTTATGATCAACCTAGATAGCATATTAAAAAGCAGAGACATTACTTTGTCAACAAAGGTCCGTCTAGTCAAGGCTATGGTTTTTCCAGTGGTCATGTATGGATGTGAGAGTTGGACTATAAAGAAAACTGAGTGCCGAAAAATTGATGCTTTTGAACTATGGTGTTGAAGACTCTTGAGAGTCCCTTGGACTACAAGGAGATCCAACCAGTCCATCCTAAAGGAGATCAGTCCTGGGTGTTCACTGGAAGGACTGATGCTGAAGCTGAAACTCCAGTACTTTGGCCACTTCATGCGAAGAGTTGACTTGTTGGAAAAGACCCTGATGCTGGCAGGGATTGGGGGCAGGAGGAGAAGGGGAAAACAGAGGATGAGATGGCTGGATGGCATCACCAACTCGATGAACATGGGTTTGAGTAAACTCCGGGAGTTGGTGATGGACAGAGAGGCCTTGCATACTGCAATTCATGGGGTCGCAGAGTCAGACACGACTGAGGGACTGAACTGAACTGATATTATACCTGAGACATTATAAAGTTAGTAAATTCAAAAATCCTTTTATGTTTTCTACAATATTTATATCTATATTATGATGTTATAGAAAGCCAAGAGATAAAAAATCATTTCTATTTCATGTGTGCTTAGTCACTCAGTCATGTCCAACTCTTTGGGACCCATGAACTGTAGCCCACCAGGCTCCTCTGTCCATGGGGATTCTCCAGGCAAGAACACTGGATTGGTTTGCTTACACTTCTCCGGGGGATCATCCCAACCCAGAGATCAAACCCAGGTGTCTTGCATTGCAGGCAAATTCTTTACCATCTGTGCCACCAGGGAAGCCTAGAATATTGGAGTGTGTAGCCTATCCCTTCTCCAGGGGGCCTTCCTGACTAAAGAATTGAACCAGGGTCTCCTGAGTTGCAGGTTGATTCTTTACCACTTTAGCTACCAGGGAAGCCCCAGCTTTAAGTATATTTCAAGGACAATAGAAAGTAAAACTAAACTACTATTTTTCCTAGAGGGTTTAAGAATTATATCAGGGAAGGTATAGGGAATCTTGACATACATTTCTGATTGAAATGTTATATAAAAGAGTCTCACCCACCTGTTACTTCAAAAGTGATGGACAGGGAAGGTGCAGCACTAGGCTTCAATGTACTCTGATATTTAGTTTCTGAAATAACAGGGAAAGAGCAGCATATATATAAGAATAGTCTTCCCCCCCAAAAAACAGTGCTGATTGAAGCAGGGTAGTCTGTGGAAACTGCAGTTAGAAGACTACAATTATAAACAATTTGTACTTCATAGGGACGGTGACTATTTTATTCACATTTTGGGGGGCAAAACATGTGAAAACATGAGTTCTTTATTCATCCTTCTGTCCACCCATTCACAGTACAACCATCCTGCCTTCAATCCATTTTTCTATTGACCCTCCAAACCTTTCTGCTGGTTTGTCTCATTCAATGTCATCATACAGGCTTATTATCCAGACTATCTTTCTTAATAACTGCAAATCTCACATGCCTTATCCAGATATAAGTGTGGATTATTTGGTATGTTTTGTATAAAAGAATGTTATACAATTTTCTATGATATTCACAGCTTTATGGTGCTTTATAATGAATAACTTTGGCTTCCCTCGTTTGAAAACATGTTCAATCTGTATCAACTGGAAGGTGTCTTGAGTTACTATAGCTAAAATCTACTTTCATTTCACTATGAACTCTTCCAAAAGTCAATTCACATTATGCATCTAATGATCAGTAACACTTCCCACAGCTTTCTAGGAGTTAAACTGATAACCTCATGGGCAAGGCCTCTTCCTGTCACATTTTGAGGATAGATTTCATGCTAGGAGAAGTTGGACATTTTTCAAGACTACTGGAATTCTGAACAGCCAGCTCACAGAAACTGTCAAGATTTTACTGCTGACTCTTCTCAGCAGAGAAGCTGTCAAGTCTTTCTTCTAAATAAGTGATAATGGAAATTTTGATCACTTCAATATTCTGTTAGAACTGGAAGAATTCCATGAATAAAATGTGGATACTCTCCAATATCAAGTAGACATATTTTTCCCATTGTCTGTAGATGCCATCACCACCTTAATAACTATCCTGGTAATTCAACTTGTACCAAGTTTTGAATATTATACTTTATACTTTGTGAGTACTTTAATAATAAATATTTCAACTTCATGAAAACTAAATATATTAACTCCAAGGAAAAGAGTTAGGGCCTTGTGTGGTGTGAGTCAGTTAATAGCAGAAAATACATCAATGAACAAAGTAATTTAAAGTGATCTTGGTTTTGTGCTATGTAATTCTATGTAACATGATATACCAAGATAATAAAGGAAGTTGATGTCATACCACTTGTTTTCAGTATTTTTGTATATAGAAATTTTATGTTGGGGCTAAAGTATTTTGAGTTAAAGTATTTTCAATAGTTTGGTTATATGTGAAAAGACATTTATAGAACACACAGAATCTACAAAAACAACAGCGCAATCCTTGTTCTTCAAATTAAGTGCAATATGAATTGCTCTTAGGATAGGCTGTTCATGGTTAAACAGTCAGGATTTCTTGAGATCAGTACCTTCTTGCTAGGATTGAATAAGCAAGTTATTCTGAGAGGTTTCCCTGTTTTTATAAAGTAAGCTTTCATTCTTTCATATTTATTGAAAAAGACTGAATAATCTTCACAGACCACAGTCTAATTGTTTTTTATTCACACCTATCTATAGCATTCACATATTACCCTTGGGATGCTGGTATATCTAACAAGTTTCCTACTGGGGAAAATTGAGTACTACTAGGGGGAACTCACATAATCTAAGTTCTGAGGAAAAAATAACTGCAACTTTTAGTAAGAATCAACTGTTTTTGCAAAGACTATAAGAGGCTTATTAATATTCTTGATCTTTGACATGAAAGGACACAGATTCTTAAGTTATTTATGTTATATACTTACAAGATTAAATATTAATTTTAGGTGAATTGACTACTTCCATATCTTTGCTTTGGTGTTTGCATTAGCCCAACAGATACATCTTAATAATAATATTCTTTGTGTCTTATCTTTTTTTCCTGTGACTTTTATTTTTATTGCTCTGCAGTGCCTTGACAGCAGTAGTCAGGGAACTCTATGACAAAATGATTTTTAAAAGTGTCCAATTACAATTCAAAATTCTGAAGGATCTTTTGAAAGTAACAACCTAGAGGATATAATTGACATTCAGAAACTAAAATCTGATCTACCTCTAGCAATGAAATTATACTACTCTGAAAGGACTGCCATAATAAATTCACCAAAGGATGTTAAAAATGTAGCCATTAAAGTGACTAAGAAAATATTAATGTACTAACATTACATGTTTTATGCTACTTCCTTAAAATCGCAAGACATATTAGTAGTAAAAGGTATCCCTAGGCTAGATTACCAAATGAGTTAACATGCTGTGTAAAGCCAGTGGATACAAAACAATTAAATTCTGCAAGCTGCAAATGCAAAACTTTAGTCCTTACTTCCCAAGAATTACTGCTGCTGCAACTTTGGTGGGAGGCAAAAGAGCTCTCTCTCCTTTTGTTTTATGAAATGTCTTTTTCTCTTGATTCTTCCCTTGCTTTTCTGATTCTTCTTGGTCATATTCCTTTTCTGAATATTTAGTTTTTTTATTCCGGGTTTTTTTTTTTTTTCACCTTTAATCCATGTTGTTCCTTCTGTTTAGAATAAACTCCCTCTTGCATGCCTGACCTGCTTAACTATATGGAGTATATGCATCATAACTCAGCTCAAATTCCACCTCCATTATGAAGGTTCCTCTATTTTCTCACCACAGCTATTCTAAAACTCAATTATGGTGGCTCAGATGGTAAAGAATCTGCCTGCAATGCAGGAGACTTGGGTTTGATCCCTGGGTGGGGAAGATCCCCTGGAGAAGGAACTGGCAACCCACTCCAGTACTCTTGCCTGGGAAACCCCATGAACAGAGGGGCCTGGGGTTGCAAAGAGTCAGATAGGACTGAGCGACTAACACTTTCACTTTCATACTGCATTATGACTATTGGTCTGTTTGCCCTCATGATGACCATGAGCATTTTCCTGACATGAAATTTGTATTGATATTTCTGTCCTCATCACCATAGACAATTTTTGGAACTCTTCTGGCCACTATTCAATATGGGCTGAATGTATTAGTGATACAAGTCCTGCAGTCCCTCAGGTAGTAAAATGTTAAGAGGCTCTTAAGAGGCTCAGTCCAATGATGATCAGAATTTTAGAGTAATATTAATATTCAACAATATGTACTTTTAATCTTGGCCATCTTGGACTCACTTATTCTTTTGTACACTTATCACATCTGGTCCCCAAACTGAGATTTAGGCCAAAAAAATTCTAAGATATGTCTACCAAATCAAAGCATTTAATCAAAGGTTTTTTTGTTTGTTTGTATGTTTGTTTTTAAGTTATGCCTTTGGGTTAAAGATCTTTTCCTGTAGTTTTATTCTCTATTTCTTTTAAATTCAAAGTGAACTTTCTCTCAATACCATAATTAATTTATATTTTCAACATCATTGTAAAACAGCAAAACAAGGTTTCTTTTTCAACATACAGGTTTTACTTATATGAAGAAAAGAAATTTGGGCTTTGGAACACATATTTGCATCCTATATGTATCCTTATAAGACACATGTTTATTCTATTTTTATAATTGCTAAATTATATTTTATAATTTTATAATTTTTTATTTTAAATAAATGTTATTTTAAATAAATTTTATAATTTATTTTATAATTGCTAAATTCTGACTCAGAACCTGAAGTCAAAATTTAAAGAGAGGCTTGTCAGCAAACCAGAACAAACCAAAGATGGAACTTTATTAATTATTTTTACAACCATCATTTAGACTACCATTCAACATAGTTAACATCCGCCATAATGTGAACAAATATACGGCTCTTCATGCCCCCATATCCCTGCAGGATGATCCCATGCCTGCTCTCCATAGGTGAGTACCTGAGAAGCAAACAAGATTTACCTTCTTTGTCCTTGTGGGCGCTCAGCTGCGAGAGGAGGTTCTGGCTGGCCTGCACGCAGTACACCTCTCGGGTCTGGACGCCCCCTCCGCAGAGGGCCGTCTGGTTGCCTCGCCTCCTGTCCTGCTGGCTGAGCAGAGGGTCCACCCGACACTCGGTCCACTCCGTGGTCCTCCAGCTGTACCTAGATAAAGAAAAGGCCGACAGTGGCCATGTGTTCACTGAATACAACTTTTCTCCAATCCTATTTGTTTTTTTCCCTCAAGAAAATTAATCTGAAACATTCCTTCCCCTTGAATCAATCTTAGGCCACATCTCTGGTACAGGTTCAGTTTCGATCCCTTCTCTACATTCTTATGCTGCTCCGTTTAAAGAGGGGTTAAATTTAAGATGATCCAGTTTTAATTGCAACTACTAGAAGTTACTTATAAATATTTTATGCAAAGAGAGCATAATGCTGAATATATGAAATTTTACATTTAATTAAGCTGAACTCAGGCTTGCCCTTTTTTCACGTTTATAAACAAAGGAAGATTGAATCTGAGAATGGGGAACATTCTAAATGATGAACCCAAATATTTGTTTTGTCCTTAATAAAATGTATGAAAATTCCTTCTTCACACTGGTCAAAATTGTGATTGTGTGTTTGTAATAAAAATATAACATAATTCAGAGTTTTCTCTTTATTGCTGAGAATAAGAGTTTTTTTTTCTCTCCTGTAACATTTGAGCATCCCTGATGAGTACTGATGAACGATGAAAAGAGCTGACGTTTCTAATCAGTGGAACACAGGAAAGATGATCTATGCTTCTAAATTAAAGCTCCAATCAAGATTATGATATGAAAAAAATGTCAGAGGATTGTCAGCCCAACACATGCTTTAAGGAGATAGCCAGGGTCTTGATGTCACTGAAGATAGACAGTGATGGCATTTCTCTACCTCAAGGAAAATGGATATTCTAAAAGCACAAAGAAAATGGCTCTTGGAGTACTTTATGTCATTTTTACCAAGATGCTTCCTTAGTAATCAGATTAACAGCCAACACAGGTACAAATGGATGTGCTAATGCTCATCTCAATTAGACAAAAAGGTTAAATGGGCTCTTGGATGTCTGATCTAGATGCTTTGCTTTGTCAGTGGTAAGGTTTCATGTCAGTAAAGTGAACTTCATGCCCATTTTTCAATTTTTGTAAGTGGGGATTCATGGCTTAACAGAGGTACAGGTCTAGGGCATCAAAGAACAATGCTCTAGACATATATTTATAAAGGAAGTGAAGTATTCGGGTCAATTTTTAAATTGTCGATAAATGATGGCTTGGGAGGAGAGACTGGGAGGTGGGACAGAAAAGAAAACTAAACAAGCCATTCATTAGGGGAATTAAAACGAAAATTTTATTTTTTATAGAGCAGCATCCCAACATAGGTCATCCTAAGGAGTCCTGTGAGAGAAATAAATTTTTTAGTAATGTAAATTGATTACACATTCTTAAAAAATATGCTACTATCCACAAAGGGTTAGAAGACAGAGATTTAGAATAGGGATTTATTTTAATTAATAGTTAACGATGTTTGAATAACTGAGAGGATAAAGATATCCTAGCTTGAGATTAAAAAAATGGAAGAATCTCGCAGGAGATGAAACACTCTGACTAGAGAACCTGGCAACTTCCCTGAAACTGTTATGTCAAGGGGAACATACAAGTCAGTGGGGCAGGCAGAGAAGTCTGGAAGGAAACTTCAGTGTTCAGCTGGTTATATTAGGTAGGGGAGAAGGGAGGATTCCATAGTGCTGCATAACTGAAAATCTTGTATGAATCATTGCTATTCTTTGCTATTATTATTATTATTACTGTTAGAAACGGGACGAGGAGCAGCACCATCAGTGGTAGTGGTAATTTTCCTCTTCACTGGTTCATCCAGTGCAAGCTATAAGCCTGTTCTCTAAATGCTTCAAATAGTCCAGGGAACCTTTCGATGAAGCTTGTGGGTACCTACTGACAAACTAAGATTCTGTTAAGTTTTTTAGTAAATACTCTACATTCAGACTAACCTGAAACATATTTATCACCAAGTTAATTCACAGTAATGTCTTGGAAATGATTTTTAAGGATAAAAATAATATAGTTACAGTGCCAAATATTTCAAAATCAGTCTTATTTCATCTGAATTCGATGAACATTTATTGGGTACTTACTATGTGCCTGGTCCTATGACATATACCAGTGATTAAAGAAGAAACAATCTCCACACCCAAGGTTAATAAGCAATCTTGGTCCTGAGAGAGCTTAAAGTCTTATTATTTTGATGTAGTATTCTACTATATTTATTAGGATTTGTTTTACACAGTGCTGAATTTTAATAGGGCTTGCTCAATAGGCAAAAGGAACCTATATTTTGAAAGATTATTTTACCTTGTAGACTAGTTGACAAACTACGGCTAAATTCAACCTGTCCCATTTCTATAAATAAATTTTATGGAAGCATATCCACACTCATTTCTTAACATATTGCTTATAGATCCAAAGGCAGAGTTGAATCATCGTGACAGAGACACATGTGGCTCATAAAGACTAACATATTTACTATCTTCTCCACTACAGAAAAAGCTTGCCAATCTTCATTACAGAAAATACGCAAAGAACCACTACTAAAAATCCAACTTTTGTGGAGATTGGGAAACATAGCTTGTTACTGACACTTTCATTTAGTAAAACTGGAATTTTTTTTATCGGATAGTGCTGGTAGAGATACATTTCTACTTAGAATTTGTAAAAATCAGTATTTCTCAACACACCATCCCATTGAAATCAAACAGCTAAAGGAATATGCAGTTTGGGCAGACGGGGCAACAGAGGTCGCTGTCCTTATTAACTCACGTGGCACAGGGGGCAACTCCATCTCCTTGAGACACACAGGGCTCTTTTTCCTCAAGTTCTGGACACTTCTTCTCGCTGCCAATAGGAAACTGCCTGATGAGCCGAGTTCTCACGCGGGTGCCTTTAGGGGATGCCGTGTCAAGGCACGTTTTTGAGCAGGGGCTCCACTCCGACCACTCGGACACCTGGCACTCCTTGGTCATCACGCAGGCCTGGAAGGTCATTGGCAGCTTCTCTTGCTGGCAGAAGCTACAAACGAGAATTAATATTCTCATCACAGACTCGTAGGTAGGCATGAACTTTGTAGGCAGGCATGAATGTTCCAGAGCAAAATCAGCTTGGACCTGTTTATTTCTACTTGGAAGTACAATTCCAATTTCATTGAAAACGTACCAACATTTATAATGTGTAAAAGCTGTTAGACTCCAAGCTAACACTTGCATTTCCTCTTAGTTTGTAATAGTTGTTAAACCATTCGCAGGAAGTAGAAAATAAAAGATGAAGCAAAATTAGCTGAAACTAAGTCTACCATATTGTTCATTTTACTCACTCCAGATTTGTTTTAACTTAGAAAATGAACTGTTAACATAAGATAATTTTCACTCTGTTTAGTGATTTAAATAAACATGCCTGGCTAACTACTACAATATTATTTTGAATAGAAAAAAGCAATTTAATTTATGCTTACCATTATTTTTAATATCATTTGAAATTTTAGCTGTCAACTACAAATGTAATGTAGGCTTATTCAAATACATCAACTTTTTCCAGTCATACTTTAATGCAAGGTCTACATATGAGTATATTAATTAAATGCGTCCTAGGCATTAGAAGGGCGACAGCAGATGAGATGGTTGGATGGCATCATCGACTCAATGGACATGACAAACTCTGGGAGACAGTGAAGGACAGGGAAGTCTTGTGTTCTGCAGTTCATTGGGTCAAAAAGAGTTCAGACTCAAGTAAGCAACTGAACAACAAACATTAGAAATATAAATTTATTAAGCTATACTGTGTAGAGATATCCTCTAAACAGATCTAGAATATTTAGTCACCAGTAAAGTATTTATGTTCAAATTCTTATCTAACCATTCCTCCTTGAATTAGAAGGATGTTGAATTCTTTTGTTTTTCAATTTATTTTTTCCTGAAGGATAATTGCTTTACAGAATTTTGTTGTTTTCTGTCAAACCTCAACATGAATCAGTCACATGTATACATATATCTTCTCCCTTTTGGACCTCCCTCCCATTGCCCTCCCCATCCCACCCCTCTAGGTTGATACAGAACCCCTGTTTGAGTTTCCTGAGCCATACAGCAAATTCTCGCTGGCTATTTTACATATAGTAAGGTAAGTTTCCATGTTACTCTTTCCATACATCTCACCCTCCCCTCCCCTCTCCCCATGTCCATAAGGCTATTCTGTATGTCTGTTTCTCCATTGCTACCCTGTAAATAAATTCTTCAGAACCATTTTTCTAGATCTGTATGCTGCTGCTGCTAAGTTGCTTCAGTCGTGTCCGACCCTATGTGACCCCATAGACAGCAGCCCACCAGGCTCCTCTGTCCCTGGGATTCTCCAGGCAAGAATACTGGAGTGGGTTGCCATTTATTTTCTTATTCGGACTGTAACTGACTACCCTGCTAAAAGATTATAGAAGTAGCAGAAAGTACTGAATGTTTGCGTACAGTGCCTATAATAAAACTAAACTTTTATATGAAAAAAAAAATTCCGTATATATGCATTAGAATACAATGTTTCTCTTTCTCTTTCTGACTCACTTCACTGTGTATAATAGGTTCTAGGTTCATCCACCTCATCAGCACTGACTCAAATGTGTTCCTTTTTATGGCTGAGTAATATTCCACATGTATATGTACCACAACTTCTTTATCCATTCATCTATTGATGGACATCTAGGTTGCTTCCATGTTCTAGTTATTGAAAATAGTGCTACAATGAACAATGGGATACATGTGTCTTTTTCAACCCTGGTATCCCCAGGGTATATGCCTAGGCATGGGACTGCTGGATTATATGGTGGTTTTATTCCTAGTTTTTTCAAGGAATCTCCATACTGTCTTCCATAGTGGCTGTATCAATTTACATTCTACCAACAGTGCAAGAGTATTCCCTTTTCTCCATACCCTCTCCAGCATTTATTGTTTGTAGACTCTTTGATGATGGCCATTCTGAGGTGATATCTCATTGTAGTTTTGATTTGTATTTCTCTAATAATGAGCGATGTTGAGCCTATTTTCATGTGTTTGTTAACCATCTGTATGTCTTCTTTGGAGAAATGTCTGTTTAGGTCTTTTTCTCACTTTTTGAGCGGGTTGTTTATTTTCCTGGTTATTTATTTTCCTGAGTTGTATGAGCTGCTTGTATGTTTTGGAAATTAATTCTTTGTCAGTTGTTTCATTTGCTATTATTTTCTCCCATTCTGAGGGTGGTCTTGTTACCTTGCTTATAGTTTCCTTTGCTGTGCAAAAGCTTTTAAATTTAATCAGGTCCCACTTGTTTACTTTTCTTTTCATTTCCATTACTCTAGGAGATGGGTCATAGAGGATCTTGCTTTCATTTATGTCATCAAGTGTTCTGCCTATGGTTTCCTCTAAGAGTTTTATAGTTTCTGGTCTTACATTTAGGTCTTTAATCCATTTTGAGTTTATCTTTGTGTATGGTGTTAGGAAGTGTTCTAATTTCATTCTTTTACATGTAGCTGTCCAGTTTTCCCAGCACCATTTATTGAAGAGGTTGTCTTTGCCTCATTGTATATTCTTGCCTCCTTTGTAAAAAATAAGGTACCCATAGGTGCATGGGTTTATTTCTGGGTTTTCTATTTTGTTCCATTGGTATATATTTCTGTTTTTGTGCCAGGACCATACTGTCTTGAGGACTGTAGCTTTGTAGTATAATCTGAAGTCAGGAAGATTGATTCCTTCAGCTCCATTCTTCTTTCTCAAGACTGCTTTGGATATTTGGTTTGTTTTGTGTTTCCATATGAATTGTGAAATTTTTTGTTTTAGTTCTGTGAAAAATGCCATTGGTAATTTGATAGGGATTGCACTGAATCTATAGATTGCATTTAGTAGTATAGTCATTTTCACAATATTGATTCTTCCTACCCAGGAACATGTAATATCTCTCCATATGTTTATGTCACCTTTGATTTCATTCATCAGTGTCTCATAATTTTCTGTGTACAGTTCTTTTGTCTCAATAGGTAAATTTATTCCTATATATTTAATTCTTTTTGTTGCAATGGTGAATGGGATTGATTCATTAATTTCTCTTTCTGATTTTTCAGTGTTAGTATATAGAAATGCAAGTGATTTCTGTCTATTGATTTTATATCCTGCACCTTTGCTAAATTCACTGATTAGCTCTAGTAATTTTCTGATACTACCTTTAGGGTTTTCTATGTATGGTATGTCATCTGCAAACAGTGAGAGCATTACTTCTTTCCTGATCTGGATTATTTTTATTTCTTTTTCTTCTCTGATTGCTGTAGCTAGGACTTCCAGAACTATGTTGAATAATAGTGGTGAAAGTGGACACCCTTGTCTTGTTCCTGATCTTAGGGGGAATGCTTTCAGTTTTTCACCATTGAGAATAATGTTTGCTATAGGCTTATCATATACAGCCTTTATTATGTTGAGGCAGGTTCCTTCTATGCCCATTTTTTGAAGAGTTTTAATCATAAATTTTGTATCCATTCAGCCAGTCTGTGTCTTTTGGTTGAAGCATTTAATCCATTTACATTTAAAGTAATTATTGATATATATGTTCCCATTGCCATTTTCTTAATTGTTTGGGGTTGATTTTGTAAATCTTTTTTCTTCTCTTGTATTTCTTGACTATGTAAGTCTATTTAACATTTGTTGTAAAGGTGGTTTGGTGGTACTGGGCTGTCTTAACTTCCGCTTGTCTGAAAAGCTTTTGATTTCTCCATCAATTTTGGATGAGATCTTGCCGGGTACAGTAATCCTAGTTGTAGATTTTTCCCTTTCAGTAGTTTAAATATATCCTGCCATTTCCTTCCGGCCTTCAGAGTTTCTGCTGAAAGATCAGCTATTAAGCATATGGTGTTTCCCTTGTATATTACCTGTTGCTTCTCCCTTGCTGCTTTTAATATTCTTTCTTTGTGTTTAGTCTTTGTTAGTTTGATTAGTATGTGTCTTGGTGTGTTTCTCCTTGGGTTTATCCTGTATGGGACTCTTTGTGCCTCTTGGACTTGATTGACTATTTCCTTTTCCATTTTGGGGAAATTTTCAACTATAATATCTTCAAAATTTTTCTCATATCCTTTTTCTCTTCTCATTCTGGGACCCCTATTATTCGAATGTTGGTGCACTTGATATTGTCCCACAGGGTCTCTAGACTATCCTCATTTCTTTTCATTCTTTTTACTTTATTCTGCTCTTCAGAAGTTATTTCCACCAAATTATCTTCCAGGTCACTGATTCATTCTCCTGCTTCAGATATTCTGCAACTGATTCCTTCTAGAGTATTTTTAATTTCAGTAATTGTGTTGTCTCCACGTTTATACTTTAATTCTTCCAGGTCTTTGTTAATTGATTCTTGCATTTTCCCCATTCTGTCTTCAAGGTTTTTTATCATCTTTACTATCATTATTCTGAATTCTTTTTCAGGTAGTTTGCCTAATTCCTCTTTACTTTTTTGGACTTCTGGTTTTCTAATTTGTTCCTTCATTTATGTAGTATTTCTCTGCTTTTTCATTATTATTTTTTTAAACTTATTGTGTTTGAGGTCTGCTTTTCCCAGACTTCAAGGTTGAATTCTTTCTTCCTTTTGGCTTCTGCCCTCTAAGGTTGGTCCAGTGGTTTGAGTACGTTTCTTAATAGGGTGAGATTTATGTTGAGTTTTTGTTTTTTTGCTTTTCCTCTGATGGGCAAGGCTGAGTGAGGTGGTAATCCTGTCTGCTGATGACTGGGTTTGTATTTTTGCTTTGTTTGTTGTTTAGATGAGGCATCCCGCAGAGTGCTATTGGTGGCTGGGTGATGCTGGGTCTTATCTTACAGTGGTGTCCTTTGTGTGAGTTCTCACTATTTGATAACCTCTAGGGTTAGTTCTCTGGTGTCTAAGGTCTTGGAGTCAGTGTTGCCACTCCAAAGGCTCAGGGTTTGATCTCTATCAGAAGTGTGAAGTCAATGTCTGCTCTCTGTGCTTGCACTCTGGGTCCATCCCAAGGCAATGCATGAGCTGTTGGGTGATGCGCTTTTATT